TAGTATATGTAACTGCAAATACCACCATCACTGGAATGTCAAACACAGAAGGTGAAGATGCAGATAGACTCTAAACAGCTGGAAAGGTCACTTTGGAAAAAGCTTCAATATGGCATCTCCTGCCTTGTTCGGGCCCACAGCCACAACATGGAACGGCGCGGCGTCCAACGCCACGTCGACCAGTGGCCGGGTGGACTTTTACTACGGCGTCCTTCGCAACACGCCTCATGACCGCGTGTGTGACTTGGTCGCTGCGTCGTACAAGGAAGACCCATTGCACACCCTCAAGATCGTGGCGTACCTTCGCGACTGCCGCGGAGGCAAGGGGGAGCGCACGGTCGCTCGATTTGCACTCGAGTGGCTGGCCATTCACCAACCAGTTGAGCTCACGTACAACTTGAAGCATTACGTGGCCGAATACGGTCGCTTCGACGACCTCTTGGCCTTGATGGGCACCCCCGTGGAATCGGCGGCCCTGAACGTGTTCGCAAGCCAACTGCGTGACGATCTCGATGCCCTGAGCCAAGGTCAACCCGTGAGTCTGTGCGCCAAGTGGGTGCCGTCCGAGAAGAAGGCCGGTGACAAGGCCACCCGCGTGACTACAAAACTTGCGAAATGCATGGGCCTCACGTGCGCCGCCTTGCGCAAGACGTACTTGTCTCCTCTGCGGGCGTCACTGCAGCTGCTGGAGCGATTCATGTGCGCCAACGACTGGGCCGGCATCGACCTCAACAAAGTGCCCAGTGTGGCCATGCACATCCACGGCAAGCCCAAGCACGCGTTCGAGCGCCACCTGACCGACAAGTTTGTCGAGTGGAAGGCGGGTCTCGCCAGCGGCCAGTCCAAAGTCAACGCGTCGGTGCTGTTTCCGCACCAGGTGGTGCAGCAGTACTACAACAAGTCGGACGTAGCCGTGGACGCCCTCGTGGAGGCTCAGTGGCAAGTGATGCTGCAGCAAGCACGGGAGCTGGGGACGCTGTCGCGGACGTTGGTCATGTCGGACGTGTCGGGGTCCATGTCTGGCTTGCCCATGCTCGTGTCGATCGCGTTGGGACTGCTCATCTCGGACGTGGTCGAGGACGACTTCAAGGGGCTCGTGCTCACGTTCGAAAGCACCCCCCAGTTCCACGTCGTGCGGGGTGACAACTTGAAGGAGCGTGTGGCTAGCCTGGCGGACGCGCCTTGGGGCGGCTCCACCGACTTCATTGCGGCGCTGCGGCTCATACTGACCACAGCCGTGGCCAAGGGCGTCACCGCCGACTCAATGCCCGCGCGGTTGATTGTCGTGTCCGACATGCAGTTCGACCAAGCCGACCGCAGCTTTGAAACCAACTTCCATGCGCTCCAGCGGTTGTACAGCAAGGCGGGGTTCGACATGCCCCACCTCATCTTTTGGAACGTGCAAGGCGCTGTCACAGACACCCCCGCGCTGGCGTCGGAAGCCAACGTGTCACTGCTGTCGGGGTTTTCGCCCAGTGTGCTCAAGGCGGCGTTGACGGGGGAGACTGTCACGCCCGTGCAAACCATGATGAACGCCATCTTGGACGCTCGTTACGACCTCATTCGTCTCCCGTCTCACGACTCCAACGAGCCGGACGCAGAGCTCGTGTAGCCTACTAGGGTCACTTATTTATTCAATACATTCGATTCTCTCACTTGTAGTAGTATATTTCACAGCCCACAAATGGACTCGACACAATGGTAGCAACTGCCTTGTACACAACTTCTCCTCTCATGAAGTGAGAATGGTACTGACTCAGACGAAGGAGGAGATGATTGTCGTCAAAATCAAAATCAGGTGAAATATCGACACCATTTTTCGTGGCTGACGAATGGTATTTACGACAAAGGGCAATATTGCAATCAGGAAGTGCAGTTGAGTCGTAACCAGAAATATCTTACTATGACAACTTCGGGTACGAAGTAGAGTCCATTTGAGTCAAGGCCATTGTTTACAGTGTGCTAACGTTATCCAGGACAAAACTTGTCAAACAACAAAGAAGTATCATTATGTGCGGTTAGGTGAAGCATCACGTCGATTCATTGAAACCGTTCGAAGCCAACCAAAGCGCCACAAGCAGCATCAGTTGGTCAAGGT